TTTGTCACACTCATGCAGGTGGGGCTGGATACCAGCAACTTCTATTTCCCCTTAGGGATGCAATCAGGTAATACTCATTTGGATAAAGTCTTGCCAAAGAAGATCAGAGGTACACAAAGGAGAGGAATGGCAGCCTTACCCTTATTGATCGTGCAGGTGGGGCTGGATACCAGCAATTCAATCTTCTATTTCCCCTCTAGGGATGCAATCAGGTAATATTCACTGGGATAAGGTCTTGCCAAAGACCAGAGGTACACGAAGGAGAGGAATGGCAGCCTTACCCTTATTGTATCATACAGCATTGGGCTGGCTCATACTCAAGGAAGAATACTCAATGTGCTACTTAGAGCTGAATTCCCCCTCTGCAAATGGAAAGCCACGTATTCCTTGGCAGCACACAATGCACAGGACTACTGTGTACAGGACATATGTGTTAATACAGGATTTTCAGGCTGGTTTCCTAAAAAGACTAAACTGAATTAGCTTCTCCTTTGTTAGACTCATTCTTTATGTCACCTAATTTTGATGGACACATAGAGGTACCGAAGCTATTCTTCCATATTTCTGTGAAAAATCAATAGCCGTGAGGTAGCCCAGAATAAGCCATGACACGTTATATCTTGCTGAGCTGGTAAACAGCAGAATCTTAGAAAAAATTAGGTTGGAAGGGACCTTTGGAGGTCTTCACTCCAGACTTCTGCCCAGAGTTGGATTAGGTTGGTCAGGCACTTGTCCAGCTGAATTTTGACTCTCTCTATGGAGTGAGACTCTCTCCATTGCTTCTCTGGGCCACTATCACCTATTTAATTACCCTCATTGTGAAGAATGTGTTTCCTTATGTTTAATGGGAATTTTCCTAGCTGTAACTTGTGTCCATTGCCTCTTGTCTTCTTGCTGTGCATCTCTGAGAAGAATCTGCCTAGAGTCAAGATAAACAAAACCCCTCAATGCTTACCAGAATAATTACTCAGACGAAATCTTCCCCAGCAGAAGTGTACTCGGCACTGTTTCACTACTTCTTCCTTCATTAGGCAATGAAACACAAAGATGAAGAACCCTAAAGAAGTAAGAAGACAAATTCACAGGTTTTCAAGTGGATTCTCCAACCTGCTGTCTGTTTTCTAAGCTTTTTATATGCCATTCAGTTACCAATATGTTATGTATGGGCAGAGGGGTGGTCCCTGGGCCAGCATGGCACTGAGTCCTTTGTGCATATGAAGGGTATTGGGAAGAGCTTTCTGCAGATTTGGTATAAAAATAATCTGCGAATCACTGTAGGTTCTATCAACCATTTTTATGCTGCAATGAAAAGGATTGTGCCAGCTCCCTCCCATTTATTGGGACCCACATTTCAAAGTCATGAATTCATGTCTTTAATAGTATATCTATCACAGCAATGATAACTAAACAACACAATCATCCCACTGCCGTGGCACTTTCCTATTAAAATAGCTAAACACTAACACAAAAGCTATATGAGCACTCCTCTTCCCCCATGCTTATTTGAATTACATGATGTTACAAATTTATTTCTAGTCCACGGCCCTAAGCTGTTGTATTTATAGCAGTACTCCTTTCAGAAATTACCTTGTAAGGTGTTAAAAATGCTGAAGAGATACAAGAAGAATATCCTCACTGCTCCCCAGGCAAAAAAGACAAAGCCCCAAGTTAAGCCCAAAAGGAACATCAAGCTGAAAGCACTTTTGAGGTCTTGGAGAAAACCTCGTTTCCAGAATCTGGATCTCTTTTGCGTCCTTGATTTCATGGAGTGGATTTGAAGAAGAACAGTGATGAACATGGCTGTATTCGTCAAAAATATCAAGAAGACATAGGCCACAACGGAGATGTAAAACACTACATTCTCCTGAATCCAGCAACTGCAAGAAAGGGAGGCATGGATTCAATAAGGAGTTTTGTGAGCAGTGAAACTAAGGAAGCCTGGTTTCCAAAATAAGTGTCCCATATGGTTTCCAATACCTAGTGGGGGGCATTCCCTAACACCCATTACTTTCCCCCAGTGAGGACATTCATAGAATCTCTCCACTTGACTTTTTCATGGATGTTATAGAAATTCAACAACTTGGAGACTTTAATATTTCTGCCAAATTCAGATAAACCTGACAATTGTTTCACAACTTAATAGTATATACACACAAAGACACACTGCCTTTAGGAAAAACGAGTAAAATATGGCTTAATTAGGAATCTAAATAATAGTACAGCACAGAGATGAGCACTGGTTAGCTTTTCCTCAGACATAAATTAGTGAGTTCTACTGCCTTTTTGTTAAAGATGGGTAAAAATTTTCCCTCTGAGGTGTCACGGGCGTGTTGCCTCTCTGATGGGATAGAATTCAAATATTCCAGGTAATCTTCACCAACAAGTGATCAGATTATGCTAAGCAGAAAGCAGATGAGAAAAATTGAAGCACTCTGCTGTAAAACTCTTTTAAAAGGATGAAAGAATGCAGTGTTTTCCCACTGGAAAAGAGAGGAGGTTGAAATGATTTAAATAAAAGAATTTGAAATGATGAAGAGAGAGTGATGTGAATTGACATTTAAAAAATAGAGGCAAAAGTGAAAAATATTAGAGCAATTGTTCTGCCTTTAGGTTTTACCAGAAATATAGAACATGCAGGAGATACAGGACATATACATATAGGACATATACAAATGTTCTATCAGATTGAGTTAATGTCATGTAAAGAAAGAGATTTTCCAGAAAGTATAAATGAAGTTGACTGGCAGAAGCCCTCCCTGTCCTCAAGCCCAGTCCACTGATGTGAAAGTTACTCCATGTAGTAGCCATATATCCAAAATGATCCAAAAAACTAGAACCACTAAAAGGAGAGGGTTAAGATGGGGGAGAAAAGGCAAAAGCAAGAGCAAAGTTGTTGCCTTTTGGTTATTTCTTTTATCTTTAAGGTACTCTGGTGACCATCAAAAAGCTTAAAGCATTATACTTACAAATTGCTGAATGGATTGCTCTCAGAATGTGATCCACTGCCATAGAAGTCTTTATTTATAATAAGCACAATAGTAATTACAATAGCTGGCATTCCTAATATGGAAGGCAAGAGAAAAAGAGATATTTAGATTAAAAAGAAAAAATGGAGAATATGAAAAGATGTCAGATAATCTCTGATGAGTAATTACAGCAGACATACATCTTAGGATGAAACTCTACCCCTAAAGCTCCTTCTGAAACAAGTGTAATTAAATGTGTGGCATAGCACAATCTCCTTATTTATGTAAATTACAAATGAGTAGGCATAAAAATATCTGTGTTTGCAAAATGTTTGTGTGTTCAAACATCTCCAGAAGGGATCCAATCTGGTAAAATAAAACCAACTGATTATTACAAAAAGCAGAGTGTCAAAAGATAAGCAGACTACAGCATTTTGTGTTCAGATCTGATAGTGACAGACATTTTCCAGACAGTGTTTTATCAGTCTTCCCTTCCACCCATTTCCCATATTTCTTTCAGTTCTGGCTTTTCAGTCGAGAACAGCTGCCGCCAACACCACTATCATGGATGGCTGCCCCTGGGAACAATTATGTCCAACATCAGATCTAAGGATGGAGATGATGATACACTGCACACTACTTAAAAGCCTAAAAAACCTCTTTAAAACAGCAGCTAATGGTGATGCAAAAAATACAGACCAAATTCTGCCCTGGGTCAGTGCCTTTGATAACACCTTTTCTAACAGCTGAGCCAGCATTTTGGGTCTTTTTTGTTATGTTTCTCCCAAACAAGACTCTGATGCTCAGTGCTTGGAGGAAAGGTGAATCAGTGAAGATCTCAGGAGAGCTATGAATGAAAGTCAAATCCACCCACTGTAGAGGAATCAGAGAATGACAGGTAGGGAGAGGAGGCCTGGAGAAGGAGAACAACATCACCTCTGAGCATCACCAATGCAGAGGTGAAGGTTGTGGGCAGTTCATACTTCCTCAGGTACACCCACTGACATGAGGTACCATGATAAATCATTCCTGTAAAGAGCAGGAGGGGCAGGAAAAGCAGTTCCTTCCACCCACTTTTGCCTTTCCTTGCCTATGACTCTGTGCAGGGAGCAAAAGGCACTTTCTGCTGGTGTCTCCCTGGGCAGAAAAAACTTCAGCTGAACCTGCCTGAGGGAAAAAATCCATCCTTATGACTCAGGGTGTGCACCACATTTCTATTAGCTCAGTGTCCTAACTTACTTTTGCAAATATGGCCCTGTCTTAGAGAAGTTAACAAGCACAGAAATGGAGAAGAAATCTGCTTACTTACCCCAGCCAGCGATACAGCATTTTAGGATGTACTTGGGGACATAAACATTGAAAACTTTGACAAGAGACAGGTAAAACTGAACAGATTCCAGGCACATCCATGTGAAAGCTGCAAGAAGGAAATAGTGAAGGAGCACAGCCACGGTGATACAGAGACCTGGCTGGTTGAATGAGGACAGCCAGGAATTGGTGAGGAAGACCAAGTTCAGCATCAGCAGTGCGGCACAAAGGTTGAGCAGGATTTTTGAAGGGTTGTCTCTCCGCAGCTTTCTAAAAAGAAAGGGAAAGTCCATGGGGTTATCACTGCATGAGTTGTGCTGGGTGCATTCACTAATGCAGAGTAGGACAAATGCGTGTTCGTCATGTTATAAATTTACTTCTTGTGGTGTAAGTTGTGTCTACGTTAGTGTTCCATATCACATCACTAGTGGGTTTTTGAAGCAGATTTCCCAGCTTGAAAAATCAGAGCTTCTATATACATGGAGACCTGCTGGGTGTTTCACACTTGGTGGAGGACAGACTGACTTAACATCATCATTTTACTGCTATATCAAATGCTACTGTTGTTGCAATATTACTGGATTATGAGAACACCCACAGTTACCTAAGTCTAGGGTCCATCATGCCAGAAGCTATTGGCACATGCAGTGTAAAATGAAAGCAAAGGACAAAACACAAGAAAGACCAAGAGCAAGAGAAGAGAAAAATTTCCATATTTTACTGTTGACACCACCCAATGTACAGTCTATACACAGGGAATATTCCAGATTGCTGGTATCATCCAATATATAGTCTATATATGGGGAATATTCCAGATTCTTGACATGATATATTACCAATGTCCATAGGTAAATTTATGAAATGACAGAAATTTAGGAACATAGAAGTTGCTGAACAGTTCAGACTAGTGCTTGTATTGAAGCATGAGTATTTAAACCCCCCTTATTTCACCATAGTCACAGGTCAAAATAAAGCAATATTCACACTGGCAGCTCTCAGTCTTCCCTCCTATGCATCACAGCATCAATGTTACCGAACATTCTGATAGTTGCTGCAAATTCATTATTGCTAAAATATTAAAAGTGATATAAAAAAAAGGATCAGACTTACTCAAGGGCTAGATATGTCACCAGTGTTATACCCAAAAAAAGGGAAGAAGCACCACATCCTGCATAGCTTATCAGAGTTAATATACGATCATGTGTGACATCTATCTCTGTCCGGGATAAGTCCTATGGTAGAAGATAAAGAATCACAGTTTGCTATAACAGATAAAGAAAACTGCTTTCCACATTCTCACATGGATAAAGAAATTGATTTCTCTTCTGCTTACTGCTACTTTTGGAAAGTTTCCATTAATACTTTTTCTTATTGTATAGTCCTACAGAATATCCAAACTAGTAAAAATACACAGTATTTAAAGTATCCGGTAATAAATTGTGAAGCTGGAAAAGCTGTACTTCAGAAACCACAAATACAACCAGGATTCCAGGATCTTGCCAGAATTATTCCACTGGGAGCTCGCTTTGTAGGAGAAGCTCTACTTGGTTTGAATGGCAGCTGCCACACTTGGGAACTGCACAAACCTGCTAAATGCCTCGGAGCGTGGGAGGATCTTCCATGTCCAGAAAGCATCCCTCTGCAAAAATCAGCTGGGAGCCTGGGCCCTGCTTCTCCACAGCTGCTGCCAGGAGTGATACTGAGAGGATTTTATGGTTCCCTGCTACAGTTTCTCTTGTTTGAACCTCAGACTAGTAACCTACATCTCTGATGTACAATCGACTGTGCTGTTAAATAGTTGTAGCTGTGCTGATGACTAAAGTGGCACTGCAGAAGAGGTGTGATCTCAACATCAGACTGAACTCGCTTTGTTTGAATGGAAACTTTAACAGGTTGCCTGAAATCTGTCCTATCTAAATTCCTTCCTGTAGAAATCATATTTTTCCTAGCAGGAAGGGCTGTCGTGCCTCTCTTGGTGCAGGGTGATGCTGGGCTCTAGGGGAAGCTGGACAAGCATCCAAAGGCAAAGGGATGGCCTTACTCCATCATGTAGGTTGTATCCTACTGGGATTAGACAACTTTAATCTACTCAGTTTGCTTTGAACTTGCTTAACACTTTGCAATCGTTGCAGCCCGTTCTCAGGCAGTCATCTCATTTTTTGACATTCAACTTGTAGAGGCAGTTTTCTCTGTGTTACAGAGAAATAAGAGACGATAGTTAATGACATCTCCCATATTTATATTAAACTTCCCTTCTGATGGAGCATAGGTAAAACTTTCAGAAAGATGTAATGTCATTAGTTGCCACTGACAGGTAATAAATTTAACACAGTATTTCCAACACAGCAAATAACATATTAACATTGATAAAGTTACATTGCAAAGAAGTACAAACTAAATCTGTGAAATGAATTTGCCTTGAAGCAACTGACATTTAGAGGACTTTATACCATAAAAATTATTATAACTGTTTTGTTTGTTATTACTGATTTCAGCTAAATTGCAGATATCTAACAGGTTGTATAGATATGAATCTCCCATCTCTCCCCAAAACTGGCGATGACTTTGTTTAGTACCACGAGACTTTTTTGGAGATGATTCACAGAGTACTTACCAGTAGGACTCCAAAATGGGTAAGATGGTTACAAAAACAGATTGTGTAATTCATATCTGTATATTCTATTTCACACCCCGATGTATTCCAACCACCCAGTCCATCTGTGTAATAGAGAAAAAGGGATTTTTAAGCAGAGTTAGTCATGCTCAGTCATTTATAGCTCTGCCGCATGCAGAACGTGTGAATATGAGCTCAAGTTAGTGCAGATTGCAGGGTCATTTAGCAGCAGACAAGTGAGATTTCACACAGGAACACATCTTATATAGTTGCCTGAGAACCTCAAAACTTGGCTGAAAGCCTTTGGTGGAATGAAGAAATATTTAAAGTCATTTACATGCCTGTGCACAGAGAAAGCAGGAAGGTAAGGAAAAGTGTGTTGGACTGGATTATGCTGCAGGGTGTGGAAACATAGAAGGCAAGAAATATTTACAGGGCAGAGGATTTGTTTAGGCAGAGTGTAGCATTGAAAAAGGCAGATCTTCCCTGGTAAGATTAAATTTATTACCCTATTTTTGTGGCATGTATGACATATTCAGAAGCTGAGCTTCTCATTTAAAAACTACATATATTCTAGCACCAATAATTGCAGAGAAAAACCTCTCCCACGTGTTCTGAGTTAACCCAATACACAGTTGTCCTGGTTTCGCTAGGATAATTTTCTTCTTAGTAGCTAGAGTTAGCTGTGTTTTGATTTCAGTATGGGATTTGTAGAAGAATGTTGATAAGGTAGTAATGTTTTCAATTGTCGCTGGAAGATGAAGGACTTTCCAAACTCCCTGTGTTTTGCTGGCCTGCAGGTACAAAGGACTGGACAGTAAAATTAGCAAACCCAAATTGTCATTTGGATATGCCAATGGGATATTCCATATCATATAATGTCATGTTCAGTGTATTAATGAGGGTTGACCAGAAAGCTCTTGGATCTCTCAGGCTCTCTCTCTCTTCCAGGATTGTGGTTTTGGTTTTGGGACTGTCTCTGCTCCAGGATTGCTACCTGGGAACAGGCTGGGGGGGGCCTCAGTCAGTGGGTGGTGAGCAATCACTCATTTGTATATTCTGTTATTACTGTTATTATCATTATTATTTTATTTCAAATATTAAATTGTTTTTATCTCAACCCATGAGTTTTCTTGCTTTTACCCTTCTGATTCTCTCCTCCATCCCGTTGGGGGAGCCTGAGCCAGCACCTGTTTAGTGTTTGGCTGCTGGCCAGTCTAAAACCACCACACAACATCAATGGAAACCAGCAACACAGACTCAACAGGACAGCCTCACAGTTTCAAGCTGCGATGTCAAGGAGCCAAAGGCTCTGTGAGGCTGGTGACAGAGCAAGTGTGTAGATAACACTTACTGTTCTTCTGAAAGTCCCAAAAGACGCAGTGCACTGCTGCATTACCCTGAAAGCAGAGAAAAAGGAGACTGTGACGTTTATTCAGTACATCTGTGCATTGCCTGCACTTGCAGACAGTGCATCTTGCCTGTAATCAGGGTTTATAACTAAGGCAGTTTGATTTTATTTCCTCTGTAGTGATCTCTGCAATTATTTGCATGGTGGTGTCACAGCAGGTCTGTAGGTCACTGGAGATGCCAGTAATTCAGGAGCAGTTGGACATTTGGTCATTGGAAACCAGCTGGGATATCAGCCATCCCATCCATGGTGCAGAAAACCAGCAGAGGGTCCCAATTTTTACTTTCCCTTTCACCAAGTGAAATCCTGGGAGTCAGTGATTTTCCCAGTCTTCTTGTATCTTGTATTGTCTTTTAAATCTGACAAGTTGTCCAGCTTAGACCAATTCCTGTGTCTGATCTCATTGGCTTCATGTGGTATCTGAGATGTCATATTGAATTACTCGTGAAATTCAAAGTTATGACTAAGACCTAGAATAACAACCTGAGATTTTATATAATTTAAAAACCAAAACCAAAACCAATTCTCAGCACAAATAAAACCTTTATTTTAGAATTCCAGTGTTTGCACTGTCTCTGAAACCAGGCAGGAAAGACACCTAAGAGAAAATAAATCTTGTCTGCATCCTGCAAACAGCTGAACAGATTTAAATGGGTATTCAATGCAGTGTTTTCCCTTGGGGACGTTCTAGTTTATTACTCATAATGCTGCAGCAAACTTTCCCAAGGCACAGATTCATTTTCTTTTATTGTTAATAAAGTTTAATATAGAACAGAGTTTACAGGAAACCACCCTAACAGATAAGCTGTTAAAGATTTGTGATATGTAGACTGTCAAATATAATTAGGCAGAGAGCCAGAGATGTAGGTTAGGGTGGTATCTCATTAAATATGTAATTAGGATATTTCTAAAAGGTCGAGGAAAAAAATCTGAGAGGTGCCAGATGGCCTGGTAGAGTAAAAATGATGGAAGAGAGGAGGTATCTAGATGAATTTTTTGGGTACATATTATTTGCTAGAACTGAATGGAAAGAGCATATTGCCATAAAAGTGGCATTTTCAAGCTCTCATTATCTGGTACTTTAATTAAATGCATCTTATTGACTAATTATGTTCTGCCCTGGGCTTGCAATATACTTCTGTGGAGGCTGGACCATAAACAGTTACAACACCAAAATGTTAAGGTGGTACCTAGTCAACAAGTTTGACCCATGCCCACCAAAAAAAATTTTAGATAGATTTTAGTTTTGAAACATCATTTTGAAACAAAACCAACCAAATTATTTTTGAAAACAGCTATGCAATGTTTTGATTTTGTTGAAATTTACCCCTTTTAGTGACTGAAACAGTTTGCTGAATTCACAGCAACGACAAATCATTTCATTCAAATCCCAAACCTGCCATTTTTTAGCAAATAAACTATTCCTTGAAAAAAATTGCCTAGAGCAAAACAAGGAGACAATTAAAACATTCCTTGCTGCTGAGGATGGATTTAGAGTGGAGACAGAAGGTTTACTAACCTTCAGGAATTAAACACCAGGATCTGTGTGGTCTATTAATGTTTTGGTTGATATATCCTGGAGAGGTCAGACAGCAAAATGTTTTAACCTTCTTTGTCCTGTTGCCAGTTTATTGTAAGGGAAAGTGAAATAGGCTCTAATTCAACAAGTATTTGATGAAACAAACACATCCTACCGTATTTTGCTCTATGTGCTGAAGAATAATAGTCACAGGCTCATTAAGGTTCTGAATTGATGCGTTTTCAATGCTGGCACTCACAACATAGGTATTCAATCTCTCCTTCTTTAAACTGTCATCCTGCAGTGGAAAAATACATGCATGCAAAAATTCCAAGTCATTTCAGTTACCAGCAATCCTGCTCTTTCCTGCTTCCATTTAAAAGATAAAAAAATGTATTTCTTGGAAATGGTGGTCAGCCAAACACCATGGGATGCCTGATGTAATTTAGCTACTTGGTATTTCATTAGAAAATGTAGTTAGCTGCAAATTCAGGGACAGTTTCCACGTCAGCTGAAGCAGAACAGAGTTCCAGATGCATCAGCTGGATTGAGAAAGCTGTATAATTGTTTCAGTACGTCAAAACATCCAGTTGTGCATCATTTAGCTCATTAGACAATAGACACAATTGTGAATGCTGCTTCTGTGTGAAAAGTGTTGCTCAGCACATTGTATGCTCCATCATACCAAAAGAAATGTCTCCCTTTTTAATTACACTCATCCACCCCGAGTTAAAAAAACATAGCAAATAGTAAAATAGTCCTAAATGTTGCATATCAATGCTGCTATTATTTTAATGGGGAGATAAATCTTGACATTATATTAATGATATATGACATGTGCTATGCATATTCCTTAAGCAAGAGCTTACTATCAGAGGAAGATTAGGGTTTGTTCTTTTCCTACAGAAGAGCAGTATTGGAATAACATCAGCTACAGAAAATGAACAAAAAGTCTAAGATCTGCAGACACCTCTCAGGGCTACATCATTGCTACAGCGAAGGGTTTGCTGCCTGGATACATCTCCCCTGCACTAAGAAATTAGTCCTCCATCAGTCTGATGCTAAATGTGCCCAGAACAGATGATGCTATTGGGGTTTTTCTTTTGTACACACCAAGAGCAGCTGAACCGATTACTGTCGTGTGAGGGTTTGTTAGGAGTCATAGCTACCTCAAAGAGTGAAGTAGTGCCAAAAAAATTAAACTGGATCTTTGAATGCTTGTCTGGGTCAGAGTGCTCGATCCCTAGGAATTTCTTCAGTGATTTTGGCAAAAACACAGAGGCCAAGGCCTTTTTGAAAGGCTTTTCTTGAACATTGATCTGCAGGAGAGAGAGAGGACACGCTCAGAGCTGCCTGTGTCAAATACACAACAGTACAAAATAGCCGCAGGATTGTCTGGCTTAGTCAGTGGTTCCTGAGGTAATACTTTGTCCTCACCTTGAGATCCACACCTCTGTCATAGGAGGTAACACCAAAGGCCAGTCCTCCAAATATGTTGGGATCTGGACGCATCACCAACAAAGCCAAGGAAGCGGTTATCACCGACATATTTCTTTCTGTGTAAGTCATCTTATAGCCGATCTCCTCAGTTGTCTTCAGGATACTTTACCAAGAGCAACAGCAAGGATGAAAAAAAAAATAAAAATAAAAAATACACCTCTTGAAATGTTCTCCTGGCTTCATAATATGCAGTCTGGACACAATCAGCTGAAAACTGCTCTGATTTATGATCACAAGACCAATCAGTAGAGCAGAATGGGTCCATTTTGTTATAGATGACACCTTGTCTGGCACAGGGTCAGGTGATGGCAAGCAATTGAATTAACATGTCTGAGTAAGCCAAAACTCTGGCAGATGGAAGATACCCTCCTGCAGGGGCAACACAAAGTGGTTCTGGGGAGACCTAAGTCAAAATTCACACCCAGTCAATACACCATTTCATCTGGAAGACAGTAACCTGTAAAACCTGCTAATTTGATTATTTGCAATCATATAATTGTACCCTCAGGTAAAATATCAGAGCCAGGATAATTTAGCCTGGAAGGGTCCCATGGAGGTCTGTCATCCAACTCCCCACCTCCCCCAGGCAGTGCATACTTTAAAGGTAGGTCAGCTTGCTCAGGGTCTTGTCTCTTATCCAGTAAAGCTCTGAATATCTCTGAGGATGAGATTTCACAGGCTTTCTGTGCCCTGCTCTCAGTGTTTTGCTTTGTTTTGTTTTTTTTCTAGGTAGAAAGAAGATGTTGGAATCCAAAGGAAGCAGCAAATTAGGGTTGTTTAATGCTCATGGGTATTAAGAGTATTAAGAGAGAGCTCCATGTCTTGTTTGGCCTCCTTTAAGGCCATTCAGCAGTACACAAGAAGGGATAATACTCTGTTGAAAATGTGTATGACAGCTGCCCTTGACAGACTAAAAGAAAACCTTCATGTCCTTCTTAGGTCTGGTGTTATCTTCACTCATCATTGGTCCCAGACAGACCCCTGTGGGATCCTTTCAGCCACAGCTGCCCTAGAGCTGCGATGTCTGGAGTCCAACTTCCTCAAAATATCTGGGATCCAAAATTTCTACTGAGGCCTGACAGAAGGAGCATCATAGCTCTTGTGAGGATATCATACTAGCACTTGTCAGGTATCATCACAGCGGTCACTCTCTTTTGAGGTTTGATTCGTGGAAAAATTCAAACACCTAAGATTCTCCTGTCCACAAAAATAGTAAAAGACATTGTTATTACAACTTGTACATACCAACTCTATCTTCATTAAGGATCATGAATCCAGGGCCTATTAGAATATCATCCTTGTCCCCAAAACCTTGTATTTCATGGGAGGAGAATTTGAAGTAATGGATATTTTACTGGAAAAAATCCACAGCCTATTTGAGAAGGCAGAGGTGTTGAATGCCAGCAGCTATCACAGCCCCACTCCACACACTGCAGTGCAGTAGACTTTGAAGAGAGAGCATACAGCCAAAGGATTGTGATGCTCCTCATTCCTTTCTCTCCTGCAGATTTTCTAAGCTATTTTTGACTACTCTTCCTTCCAGTACAAACAACTGGGCTGTTGCATCGCCCCGTCAAGAATTCAAGTGGCAAGTTCATTTTTCTTGCTTTTAATATTTCTTCTTTTAATATTTCTTGTATTTATTAAAATATTGTTTTACATCAAGCGTAACAGAAAATTGCAGATACACACGGTCTTTAAAATGAGAAATGCTGAAAGACTTTTTAATGTGATGAATACTGCATTTCTTACACTGATGGTTAGTGTTGGATCAGTCAGTGCAAAGTAGAATAACCTTTCCTATTTGGAGCCTCAGGCTGTGCAGTGACAAGTGGGTAAACTATCATCTTCCCCAAATCCAAAATGGGTAAACTCTGTGTACTTGCATAAATTACTCCATAGAGACATTTTCAATTAGGAAGCCACTTCTGCACACATTATCTTACTTACCTATTGGTCATTTTTCTTATGTTCTGATCTTCTATTTCTTGCAGCAAAATATAGTTTAGTATAGACAGTATAGTCTCTGCAAGTGTCATGCTCACATCTGCAAGCCTTACGATATCAGAAATTTTAGTTGCTATGATTTCTAATTCTTCCATATGCAGTTTTGCATCTGGCAAGAGGTATAAAATATGCTGTACAACATCTTGTGCATTCTCTGAAAAAAAAAAAAAGAAAGTACAGATGATTTCTGTGGCTCAGCTACATGTGTAGTTATATAGCTACACGCGTCCATGTTAAAGCAAGGAGTTAGTCTGCTTCTCCTCTCTTTCCATATCATCATAATGCTTCTGATCTGTTATAAAATTATCACCTAAGAATAAGTCAATAAGTGCTCAACATTGTCAATGACACTGACAAAAACTTCAAAGCAAAATCTGGATATCTCAGGTTATATTTTAAAGGAAGAAAACAATGTACTTTTCATAAGAATAGTATCGTCTGCTTTTGGATTATAAGGATTATCTGTAAGTAATATTTAGTTTTAACTTTGGTCATGTTTACAAGCATTTTTTAGTTCAAAATTACACAAGATTTGCCCCTTCCCCCAAATGTTGCTTGCCTGGTATAGCAGCAAAAGCAAATTCTGAATGATATAGTTTGAGAAGTTGTATTTGCCATTCATCATCTCATCATCCTCCTATGATTTTTTTATAGAAGCAGAGTTTTACACCCTGGGAGTCAGACAGACTGTATCCAACTGCAGATATCTTTCAATGATCTATTATTTATTTGATGCTACTGCTGAGTAGGTGGATAAACTGTGGCATTGTTTTTGTTCACCATTCAAACAATTTGTACTGTTTTGTATAGCTTGAAAAAAAAATACAATCAAGTCATAACAATCACCTTATAGCTTACAGGGATTACAGCACAAATTTTTCAATTCCACCCACAGATTTGTGCTTCTTGGTATGAGATCTACAGAACATGAACTATGAACTATTTTGATGTGGTATATGTGGTAATATAGACAGGCACAACCTGTCACATCATTCATCGATTATTTACTTAGTTCTAAATCTAATTGTAGGATTTGAGACAAGTCTTCAAAGTGATAGCTAGAGAATTTTGAGGCACCCACAAAACTCATCTACATTAAAAAACTTGACAATGACCAAGTGAGTAGTATGCACATAACACAACCTATTACTTCAGTTCTTCAGATGTCCAACATAAGCATTATCTGAGTATAACTATTTTCACTTTGATTCAGTGTCTCACTGAAGTATCTAGCACCTTACCATCTGTTATCATGATATCATGGAGGTCTACAATATTATTTGGAAGTTCTTCCAGTAATTTACATTCAGTCATATTTGGTTTCTTCCAGAAAGCTTGTTCAAGTTCAATATTAATTGCACTGAAAAATGAAAACAGTGTACATTGTTACAAGAAAAAATATATAATTGATGTTCCTCATACTTCCCATATAAGTAGCTGAGATTCTAATTAATTAATCCATTTTTGAACACTGACTTGCAAGTCAGATCTGGCTTAGCACTCATTTAGCAGAGTGGGTGCAAAGCCCAAATGCCAGAGCAATTTGAAATGCATCTAGAGGTACTGGTGGGCTGAGAGTCGTGAGTGGATGGCACAAAATGCTGCAGTGCCTCTGTTTTCTCTCCCTGCTCAAGCAGAATCAGCTTCCTGCTGTGCTGGCTTGACCTGGCTGCAGGTGATGGAAAGGATGCAATACTCCCTTTCCCTGCAGCCTACGCTAGACTGGCCCTGTGTACTGGGCATCTTTCTTGGCATGGCACTGCTCCGTGCCACGACAGTCTGCCATCCGTTTCCCCATCACACAAAGCGTGGTGCTCCCTCCTGTTTCCCGTGCAAGAACCAAAATGAGATGATTTCCTCACTCACCAGCTCCTTTGAGCAAACTGCAGAGGGTTTTTCCTGCAGCTGACCTCTGCTTTGGTAGCTGGACTTGTTAGTGGCCAGGAATAATTCCCCTTGTAGGTTGTGTGTGAAAAGCTTTCTGGACAATCCATCAGTACTGTGGAAGAAATATATAACAGCTCTTTAAAAAGATTTAATAGTCAAAAAGAAGACACCCCCCGACACCCAGGGACCCAGCAGTTCTCTGGACCTCCTGTCCTGATGGGACTGAGCTGTAATTTGTAAATTGCATAGGAGTATTTTACAAGTTTATTGGCTGCAAGAAAATATTTTGCTTAAATATTTCACCTGTTCTTCTATGACCTTCTTCTCTTCTGTTTGACAAGGTCAGTTCTCAGGTAGAGTGTTAGTTTCCCAGCATCACAAAATGTATTTAATGCCAGTACATCCTGCAAGCTTCTCTAATCTATCTGAAGGTGCTTTGACACTGCCCCTTATTATCCTTTCAATGTCTTTCCTCCAGGCTTGTAGTTTTATTGTCTGCAGCTGATCTTTTGTAAGTCTTTGATAGAAAATGTTTTTAAATTTCAGTAACAGTCTGTTAGCTCTTATCTCTGGCTTACTTCTGTATTTTAAGGAGCGATAAAGATTGTAACCAAACCAACAAAGAGATTATTTACAATTTGATATTTGATCCAATGTGCACAGGCATTAAGAGAATTTCTACAATGGGTTTGGTTTTGGTGTTTGGCTCAGGTGTCCCTTAATAGCCAGGTTCTGGGCACTGGTTGTGAGCAGAAGCATCATCAACCTGACCTTCCCTTCATTGCAAAGGTGCTCAGACCTGCCTTGGCACCAGGATTTAAGTTTTAGCTTATCTCCATTTGTCTGAACCCAAGTTTTTGATCTTGCTGTCACTGGATGATGTTCTACAGGTTATGCATCGGATGATGTCAGTCTAACTATTTGTAAGGATGTTTTCTAACCTAACCTCTCTGCAAAATTTAAATTTGATAAAACACTTGTAGCCAGAATTGCAAAGCATGTGATTTCCAATTAGGAAAATGAAGTTAGGTTTTAATGAAGTATTACCTATTGGCTTGACAGCCACATCTTCAGGTTTCACATATAAGGATAATGGTCCCTCTTCATAAGTGTCATTCAACAACAACTGTTTGATCTTCAGACTCAGCACTTCCTGTATTTCAAGTGATGTGGCCTTTATAATGGCCTTACAGACATAGCTACAAATATAATACACAAACAAGGCTACCATATTAGTAACATCTCACAATTAGAAGTGGCTACAAAATTAAGGAGTAACCTAGAAAATAATGTTGAATTGTAAAATTTATGTATGTATTTTGTTCACCATAAGTGCAGTCCTATGGCAAATGTCACCAAGTGCCACTTAGTGGCATTACACACGCTAGTAACTTATCACTGGAACTGCTTTCTAAAGTACAGATTATTGGGAATACAGGTACAAAAATCTATTTATAGCTTCATAGTAAATACCTCAAAAGGTTTCCTAATCATGTTATCAGGAACATCTCTGTCACAAGTAAGCATTTTTCAACCAGGTTTTAAAGTTTGGAGTGAGCTAGTCATAAACTGATGAGGTGCTTGAGTACCCCTGTGTCCAAAGAGATGTGTTAGGCTCCCTGGAAAACTGAGATTTAACTAAGTGCTTTCAGTATCTCCACTGGATTCCAGCTTTTTTTCATGGAAACAACTATTCTTCGGGATAACTATGCTGACTCTAGGAAGTTTGGAAAGACTGGATCTCTCTTTGAGTGGCTTCAGACATGGCAGAATGAAGCAACAATCCATCTCAGTTGTGAGAGGATCACCTCAGTGGTCCTCTAATTTAGCTGAGGGCTAACGAGTGAGATTTCCTTAGGAGTGGGATGTTTCAAATGTTTCCAACTCACTCATGTCTCTACATACTTGTTCCCCACTCAGCATGGCCTTTGTAAACCATTTGCAACCCCTTGAAGGTGATGGGAACCCAGCTCCCCTTCTTCTTCTGGCCTGTCAGAAGGCAATTAGGATTTCCTGCAGAAGAGGTGTAGGATTCATCCTGGCAGCCTTCCTGGCCACAGTTCATAACCATGGGTCTTACCTTTGTGACATCTGCTTTACCTTCATCTTCAATTCACATAGAAAAACACAAAAAGAAGCTGGTTAGAAACAACAGACACAAGTTGGGTTTTAAGGAAAGCAAACAGCAGAAACACAGTGTTCTCATTAAAATAGAACCTATTGCTTTAAATGTTATTGGGACCTGTCTCTAGAGTGGCCTGTTTCACGGTACTTCTAGAGGTACATCAGGATAAAGCAGAACCTCATGGTGCCTTGATGCTGCCTCACGTAGACAGCAGAGCAGATCTAGATCTAACGCTGTTCAATGAGTGCGCTCACCAGAAGGCTATTGCAAAGCAGACTGCTTGCAGATAGTGCTGGGCACATCCAGCATTCCTTTGTCTACACAGAACATATAAATATCTATTGAGAGACAGTGGCTTTCCAGCTCGACTCTTTCCATGGGGTACATCTACAAGATTGAAGGTCAATATTCAATAATTTCAACAAAACACAATAGTATGAGCATTTAGACCAGGCAACTACTATATCCTCTATGCAGAGATAAGAAAAAAGTAAGTTTTTAAATTACAAAATAACAAATTACATACATGAGCCTTCTTATAGACACTGCTTTGTGGATAATTACCCCTGCAAGCAAAAGAGAATGATTATTTCATAGTAAGCATATAACATGTCCCATTCTGCTGTCACTTAAAATAAAATACCTTGTGACTGCCATGAGCCAGACCTTGCAGCAGAGAAGTCATCCTGAATTCAGCATAGGTGTGTCTACATAAATCACCAAGACCAAGATATGCATCCTGACAAAAAACACTTCTCCCAGAATGGGTCCCACCCTTCTCTTATGATTTTCCCAATTGGGTTCACCTCATTTAAACAGTGCAGTGTGTTACTGTATTGTCATTTGTGAAGCAAAGAGCAACTATGGAAGTCAGAGAAGATAGCAGGAAGTCAAAATATGCCTAAAATGGTAAAATTCTATGTGTGTACAAGTGATACTTTTATGAATTGATAAATATCTCTCTCAGCTGCTCACAGTTTGGATGTGAGTACAGCTGGATTGGGCTAAAAGGTATGAAATACAGGAGGAATCTTGTGCAAAAAGCATTTCTTCTGAGTAGCATTTTGGAACTATAATATCCTTCCACTGGACAATGCCATGTGAGTGCCAGTGTGTACCTACTTACACAACCTAGACATCCCTCAGGGGTCTGTGACCCTCACTCTGCAGATGGATGTGACCCCTGAACTCGTTCGCGCTCCCGTGCAATCACTGAAACAGAGCTTCAGCAGAACTAAGGTGCTGGTACCTATGCTGCAGGTACCAGCACTCTGTCCTACTTCCCATCTCCCACAGGTACCAATTTCTGTACTTTTTGAATTGCCAGGATGGCATACCAGATACATCAGCCCACATGATGCATTGCTCACACACTGCAGCAGCAGCAAGGTTTAATCTTCATCATGAACCAATTTATACAGCCAAAGATGAGGTCTCAGTTTGGCAGCAGCGTTAGGCAGGATATATATTTTCAGGTGAATGAGCCCGGTAAACAAACTGTAGGTGTTCCATGTGATTGCAGTTGTACAGATCTGGGGGTTTGGTTTATACCCTTGTCAGGGGACTGGTCAGTTGTGAAATGGGTATTTGGAAGCTAGCTACAATTTCACTCAAATGACAGAGGGTCAAAGTGATGTCACTACACAGCCAGAGGCTTACCTGACTTTAAAGTTTGTCACAATAAATTCTTCTCCAGTAAAGATGATACTAAACTGGAAAGAAAACAGTAATATTTTTATTAACTTGATTTATCAATACTTTATTTAGACCTTCTTGTAAATTTAAAATTGTCATCAAAATTCTAAATCCCCATGAAAATGGCTAAAAATATTTGCTAAGTGTCAACACTTTTCCCTTCCTTCTGAATTTAATTTTATCCTGTTAAAAATACATTGGATAACATGATTCTGAAGCGCCACAATATTGTTACATGAATACTCATTTCTGTGTTATCCCATAAGTTTGCATTCTGTACCAGCTGTCCTCATCATCTGATACTTGCTAGAAATACACAAGAACAAGAAAAGAAAGCTACCCACCCAGTGTTCAAGAAGGTTCCTTGCATCATAGTAATCAGGAGCTCTCTCAGTTTTGTAGAAAAGAGAAAAGTTCATATCAACATTAAAGAAGCTGACTGTAAGAAGAGAACAGAAGTGAGATGCATCCTGTAGTTTGCACAGAAGGTGCCTGCACCCCTTCCCATCTCCTGACCCCTCCGTTCAGCCACGGTTGTGTTTCCCATTCCCACCATCACGAGGCTTTTTGGGAAATCTCACGCTCCAAGTGTTCGAGTCTAGATCACTGCTGCATTGTTAGAAATTTTATTAAAGAGCCTAAGGGCCCAAACACATTGTCCTGTTATTACAAATTAACAAGTTGTGGTTCATACTTGTGGGAGCATTGACTTGGCTTTTACTGCCTGCTAAGGTTGTACAGGAAGAGATGGGAGGATCTGCTGACCTACAGTACCTTGCTGAGCAGCAATAGCTGAAACATGTGACTGAGCTGTAAATTGTCACGTGTTTGGTGTCAGTCAGTGTCAGTGATGGTCATGTCAGCATTTAAAACATCCTCTTTTAGCACTTACGTGGAATGGTACCATTGGTACTACCGGTTGGAGGTAACGGGGACAGTGTAGGAGCCCTTGTTGATGATGATTCGCTTGAACCTGCTGAAAGGAACATTAAAAGGCCTAAGAATCTACAGTGGCAAAAGTGTAAGGAAGAAAATAGTCCAGGTGAGAGAGAGGTTTGAGTCTTTCAGCAAAGGTCATAGTAACAAAGAGCTGCTGTTCCACAGACCTCTGCAGGGTGAAGGCAAAGGGGGAAAATACACCTGTGCGTGGTGTATTTCTCCAGAGGTAGCTACAGCATAACAAGGGAGACCACAGGGTTTGCAGAGTTTAGATCACAAGGAAGACCAGAGTTTATGCAACATTATCTTTTTGTATTGAAGAGCAGTTATCATTCTGTTCCCTTCTTGCACGTGTAACCTGTGCCAGCCTTCAGGAAAAGGCATTTGTCAAGCACTGAATGCTAAGGGGTTAACACACAGTAATGCTGTGTGAGATGAATGTTGATACCCACGGTTTTAGTTTAATGATAACTTGGCATAAGGATTCCCATTATAAATGCCGCCATCCTGCCTGTTGTTTTCAAAGTAAAGAATTCTGAGAATTGTTCGTAGCTAATTTTCCTTGAAGTGAATCACCTTGTCAAACCAGATATGATTTTTGCATTTCACATGCAATCTGCCACATCACCAAGCAGACAGGGACAAAGCGGGTGATGTTTGTCACATGTACTACAGAAAATTGCAGTGAACCGAATCACCATATAACATTACAGGTCTCAGAGATGAAAGAAAAGCAGGATCACAACATTTTGCTCTAGATGTACTGTTTCCTTGCTAATTTGTGGTTTTTTTCTTCACTCACATGACTGTCAGAAACTTGACATTCTATCTCTGACTAAGAGAAATAAACTTAACATATGAATACAAAGCCAAACGTTTATGAATAAGGAGTGTGGTTGGAAATAAGTAGGATAAGACCATGCTTCATAAAACATTGTTTTCTCTACTGTAGTTCAAGTAAAGGAGAATCATCCATGCTTAAAATGTAACAGCCCATCTCTGATCCATTCAAATCAAAGGCAGTACATCCATGGACAGTAGCAGAAACAGGGGCTGTTAACAACTTGAACCCTCCTATTTTTATCCTAAATAGCTTGAAATTATTTTGTGAAGTTGAAAGGACAGCTGAAGCTAAAAGCCCCTTCTGAACAGGCACGCTCCAGTACACAAGCTTTTGCTTCCTAGACAAATAATCAATTTTCCCCTTTGCATTAAGCCACAGGCTGTGCACTCAGCACAAAGTCAAACCAGAGCAATTTCTGAGTTCCAAATTAATGAACAAGAGGACAATAAAACTATTGGAAGTCCAGCTCTGAGTTGTCTCTCCAATGTTGGCTCTTACAGACTAAGCTTAGACCCTTCAGTCTTCAGCTCAGACCTTCAGCCTCCAAATGATCCTCGGAGGTGGGATGGGGAGCAGGAAAGATGCCCGGGCTGTTCCAAAGATCAAAGTGTTCAGCAACCTGCTTTTGCAGAGCAATGCCCTTTGTAGCCAGTCCCTACTGCTCCCAGGGTGCACAGAAAGCTGTAAAAACAGCGAGCCTGCTTTCCCATGGTGCTTGATGAATCTTAGATTTTCATTTGGGCATCTCTCCTCTTTACTAAGGCCTTTGCTGCTGAGATAGTACTAAACTGGTGGAAAAAAAGAGGACTAATTTATTCTACTTTACTATTCCACTAAAATGCTGGCAAGTCCAGGAGCAAGCTGCCACATTGCCTTTTCAAATCCATTGTGTGTAGTAGGTCAGAAACATGACCTGACATAATGGGTATTTGCTGATTCTTTATTTGGAGAAAATCCACAGGTTTAGACCATCTAGCTGTAAGACAGACCTAGATATTCAATACACAGACCTCCTACCACTGTTTTACATGCACATGAATATGCAGAAAACAAGAAGCCAGAAGTATCTACTAACTTAAAAGCAAATGCCTAGAGACAAAGGAAAACGACTCCTCTAAAGAAAACAGAAGGACCTGAATCCAGTGGGATGTGCTTTTTCCTTCAGCACCCATGCACACCAAACCCTCCCCACCCTCACAACACATACTACCATGAGAATACAAAGAGCAAAACCTGGAGTACCTGAGCCCCAGAGCTGTGGGCAGGAAGATATTCCAGCATCCCCAGCGACTTTAATCCCACAGGTTAAACTTCTAGTGGAAACCTGTGTGCCTCCCTGTGGTGTGCAGCTGCAAAGATGGGTTCTGTGAGCCTCAGTGTGATGCAACAAATAATTAGTCCCTAGTTTCAAGCTGTTAGAAAGTGAGTGTCTTGTTATGAGCTTTGTTTAAGAGCTGCTGGCATAAAGGAAGTGTGGTGAGAACGCAGAAGGGTCAGTGCTGTGCAGACCTGCCTTATCACTGGAATAAATTATTTTTTCTTTCCTTACAGAAGTACAGACATGATATTAGGATATGTTTTATCAAGCCATAAACTAAACTGTTTGTACAGCTAGGGTTTAACTTGTCCTCTTGACTGTTCCAGTGCTGCAGGTCCTCTCCAGACAGGAGGAATCTGCATATAGCTGGGTGATTACAGGCTCCTCTCTGTTCCGGTTGTTATCAGTGTAATGTTTCAAAAACCATTGCCCCAGGGGTGATGTATGATATCACCCAGTGTCATCCGGGATTGAATCAGAAAAATCTGCTAGGGAAAAAAAATAATAAAATAGAGAAATTGCTAAACAAAACCCAAACCTGTTATAACCAGGAATGTAACTCACAATGCCATTTTCATCTCCTGACAAATGAAGCATAATTACAACTTCACAGATTTTAATTTATTTCTTTCTCTTTCTTATTATCACCTGAAGAAAAAAAAAAAATCTGTTTATTCTCACATGTCAAGGATCATTACCAGCAGGCAGGTGTGGGACTAGCCACCTGCATCCTGTAACTTCATTTACTTTAATTAACATACATGTGAATCCATTCACAAAATGAGGGCTAAGGAGTGATGACAGATGAGATCTCAAGCTAGAAAAATACTGTACCACTGACATTTTTAAAGTCCTAGTCATGGATTTTGATTTGATAATTTAATAAATGATTTATTTGGCATCCTGTAAATATGTATGGTTGCTAATTGAAGGGCAGCAAAAATTAGACCAACCAATAAGAGAACTCTAATAAATATATTTCTGCAGTCATTTTCAGATGTTGTACATTCATCCCTTTCCCAGATTACTTAAAATTAAGAAGAAAATCAGAAATCTGTGTGTGGGTGAGGTAGAGGGAGGAAGAGATGAAGATTGAGTCAGTAAGAGGATGAGAACACACACTTTTACTTCTACACTTTTAGCAAAGGCCCAGCTGAGCTGGAAAAGTAAAGGATCATCTTCAAGAACTCCAGGAAAAAAGCAAAGGCAGAACAATAACTTTACTCCTGCTAGCAAGCAAAGCCAGTGCAACTGCTCTAATAATTTTATCACTTATAAAATGTCAACAAACTTTCTTAAAGCTGCTACATTCCTGTTACATTCACACGAGAAGTTTCACTCAATTTGCTTAAATGAGCCCTGGCTTGCCCAAAGTGATGTAGGATTTCCAAAACAAGGCAAGTTCCCCAACTTCCCAGCACCATTGCATACACTATCTACTGTCAAGGTGAACCAAGCAACACACGGGTCTATAAACAACATCTATAAACACAAGAAGCAAACCATGTAGCTAGTAATTGCTATAGGACACAAGTACCAGTTTGAGTAACAACACTAGCATTGAAATGGCACTTCCCCAGGACATTTCATTACATAGCAACTGTTTGGCACAACTATTTCTTATACGCACGCTCCAGGTGTTCTCATGTAGACTCAATATGTATGACCCCATATGGACAATCCATACGAGGTAGAGCCAAGTGCAGCTTCTCCTATCTGACAAACAGGACATAAATCTCAGTGTGTCCTGACACCACTCCCTGTTATCCCTACCCAGTACATCCTCAGTATGTCTCTGTGCAATAGCTAGCTCATGAACTTCAGTTAATTAAAGGAGAAGATTTATAGTGGAAGCAAAGGTCTTGCCAAGATCTGATACATGACAGATTCTCAAACATGATTAAATTTTATTAACATCTCTATAACTAGGACTTCACAACAGTCATCTTAGTTATCGCTCTTGCGAAAATGTCAATTCCAGTAACCCTTCTCCCAGTGTGGAACACAATAGGGTTCCCATGGTTCATGGTACCATAGGCAAGCGTAGCCTTGGTGCCTCTTGGTGTAGGTTGTCACTTGTGAGACACACTGCTGTTACTCCTTGCTTATAACCTTTTAATATTTGAGCCAACATTTTCCAGATTGAATGAACAATTCAGGCTACACTGGAGAATCCTAACTAGAGGAAATCATCCGGCTCTTGGGGACGGCTTTAGAGGGAAAAAATGCTTTGACCATTGAAAGCCTCCCTCTAATGTGCTTTGTCCCACTAAAAAGCTGCTGAAATTAATCCCGCTTATTGTTTTTGAAAACTCAAAGTCCATGAACACTGAGCAAAGGCTTTGATTTTAGGTACTAAACTTTTCATCAGCAAACATGACTAAGCTTCTCACAACTCCTTGCCAAGCCAAGCACACACCTTTCCCACAGAGTGAATGGGCCCAAGGGCAAAGGTGTTAATTGGAAAAGGGAAACTGAGCCTTCCTCCTCCCTCCTCATCAGATTATGTGTCCCCTCAGTCAGGGACACAAGTAGGGAAATAGCTCTGGCAACAGGCAGTGCAGGAAGAGGACTGTCTGGGTAAAGGCAGCAGGGCAGGAAGCCAAGAGACAGATGGGAAGGTTGTAATTTGCAGCAATTGTGATTAGTGCCTGCATTCTTCAGTGCAGAGAGAGGCGTGTGCAATGAGGGAGGTGGGGGAAAACCCTCTGAGCACAGGTTTCAGCAGCAGTCGGTGATTTCCTGATTCTCTTCTCGTTGCCTTTGGCCCTGGCTTGATGAAACCTGGAGCAGGAGATGGGAAAGTGCAGTGGGAACTGCAGTGAAGTCAGCGGGTGCTGCATTTGACAGAGATGTGCTGTCTGATGGGACACTCTTTGGATTCTCAAACTGGACAACAAAAATGACCAATTACTTCTGACTGTGTCTCTGCTTTCCCTGTGAAGCCATCAGCTTACAAACAATTAGTAAAGATGCATTCACTATTATTGTGGAGCACCTAAAAATCACGGCATGTCATTAGTTTTATGTAAATTAGTCAGTCAATCAGTCAAATATTTAACCTCGGTCCTCTGTTTGAATACTGTGCAATTTAAATAGCTTGCAGTAAATACAGACATCAGGATTGAATGATGATATAACCCAAAACACTGCTAAGGGTGCTTTTCAATGGAGCACCATCCATCTAGGGCACACAACAGACATGAGTCTTGCAGAAAACTGATTACTATCATCTAACTAATGGCTTTAGTTAAATATTGTTAAATATATTGGAAGATAATTTCTGTGTCCAACCCACCTCGCTCAGTGCCAAGCCAGCTGAGTAGCAGGTTGGTGCCCCAGCAGAAGGGAGAACCACTAGAAGGTTCATATAAAAGATGCCACCTGCCAGCAGCCTCCAAGGGATTTCAGTGGCAGAGCCTGACCCTGCCAGCTTTCCCTCATCCACAACCTCCTTATCTGCTTCTAGAAGATCACTCCACTATGTGGGGTGAGTAGGCAATGTCATATGCATGGCTACAGCTCTGTCCACTCCTGGTGTTAATCATAGCAGTGGCAACGCAGAGGTATTAGACAATCCCTGTTGTCCTGAGCAGTGGAGGGTTCCCTACTCTCTGTGTGTGATCCTCAGCAACACACAAGCCCCAAGAAGAGAAAATATTGTAGAGACTCACCACAGCGCAGGTGACGATCTGCAATGGGAAGGATGCTGCTGAAGTTCCAGTACTCCTCCTTCCAGCTGACAACATTGCCCATGGAGCAGTCCAGCAGCTCTTCCTGACCCATCACACGGTCCCACATTTGGAAGTAGTACAAGCTGCCAATGAAGCTGTTGCTTACCCGCACAATAAAACCATCTTTTCTTTTGTGCAGATGGCCCAGCACCAAGCTACCATTGGGTTTCAGGCACTCAGCACCGCCAATGGTTTCGGTATGTACGAGATTACCATTGCAGTAGATGTTCAGCAGTTGTTTCCTGGTGTCCCATGAGAAGCACACGCTATACCACACAAAAAGGGCCAGATCGATCTCAATGTCTCGTCTTGTGCCAAAAAGATACAGTCTCAACTGCTTGTTTTCTCCAGAGAGTCCAAGCTCTATGTCATTGATGTCAGTGGAGGTGGTGTCAGTGTCATAGGAAAATGCTGCCCAAGAGCTGACATTGGCAGTCCGGTTTAGATCAATGCACACCGTGAACTGACATAGCTGAGGGATGCTGTAGTTGATCAGAGACACATACTTATCATTCCTTCCCAGTAAATCCAGTCTTTTGCCATGCAGAGAATGTGTTTCTGTAAGAGAAAAGCATTAGGAAAGAGGGTAAAGAAGGGAAAGAATGTGTGACTTCCAAAGAAAAAGCTGCAATGTGACCCCATTTGGGTACTTCCGTGAATGATAATTTAAAAAATTGAAAGTTTATTCTATTTCTAGTTTCTGCTGCCTTTGACATTTAATTATGAGACCACCCACACTAGCAGTAAAGAGAAAATGTGTTTAATTTTGAAAAGGAAAAGTTGAAGTCCTCAAGACATGCCAAATAGGAATCAACACAGAATTCAGGTCTAGGGTGCACATGGCCACTATCAGTAAGGGTGCTCAGTGCAAAGGTCTTGGTGCAGCACACTCTGGGTAAAGAGCTGTTTGTGGGTTTGGCTCCCAACATATCACACCATTGGCTTTCAGTTTTAAGTCAAGGTTTCTGATAGAGTTAAAAATCATAAGGACTGTTCTTTTCTCAGGCTCCAGAGAGTTTGGGCATCTTTTTTTCTTCATTATTTTAAATTATCTCATTTTATCTTTACAACCTACTCACAAGAGGTTTTGCTGTCAGAAGCCACCTCCCTGAGTAATACTAACTGCAAACCTTCATGGGCACTGAGTAACTTGCCCACATGCGGCCCCAGCTCTGGCTGCAGAGTAGCAGAGCAGTGGCTGCAGTGGCTCTAGCTGAGCCAGCCTTGGTCCCTGGAGCAGTCTGGCAGGGACACCAGCAAGCTGTGGAGGGTCTTTGACTCTGCTTATCTGGGTTTTGTACTCCACATTAAGTGTCTGTTGTCTACCAGGACAGGAGGCAGCCCAGTGTAATGCTAAGACATGTATCTCCATTCTGGCTCCTGGCTTTGCCGTGGTGAAGTACCCAGTGAGTCTCGCTGTAGTCACCACCAGCCATGACAAAGTCCCCTCCCCAGGCATGAATCTCTGTGAACCTGCACAAAGCCACAGAGCAGCACCAGACCGCAGGCAACTCGTTTAGACAGCAGCACACAGTCACCAAAGGCAGGAGCAAATCTTTCCACCAGCTCTATCTGCCACCAACAAAGTGTTTCTGTAGGGGGTGAGGTGGCCCCACGTGCACCATCAGAGTGGTAATATTTAATCAGACTCAAATTGTAGCCCAGGGCCCTCCTGTACAGGTGATCTGCATCTTTGACTTGCCATTACATTCACATATTTACCTGTGCTTCAAAAATTCAGGATATATTTCTACTAGATAAGAAATGCCATTATGTTGAGTCTTTTATAATCACATCTAGGGGCTGTTTTTACAGCATCTTTCTCAAATGAATTTAAATTTTTCCAAAGCCTGATTGCCAGCCATGCAAATCAGATATTATAAATCCCTCAAGTCTAACCTGACCAATAAATCTCCAGTGACTATTCTCACTTCTGAGAAAGGTTTTGCACATCAGGGACTGCAAAAGCAGATGACACTTCTCCTCATCTTTGTATTACGGAGGCTTTACTGGGAAAGAGCTCATTTTCTCCTTGACTGCATTGTGTGCTGGAAGTGACCCCAGTGCAACAGGGTGCATTTTAGAAGCATGAATTATCCTTATACCCTGCACTGTTCCTGAGGAGAAGTCAAAGAAAGAAATACAAAAACCAACATAGGATTAATTATTGTTGCGCTGGGATTTACAGTGGAGTGAAAGGGTCCCAAGTGTGATCATGAAGCACAGTTTACTCACAGAATTTAGTTCTGCCAGCTTCATGTTTTTTCCAGAAAGCCATGAAGGAACTAAATGCACAGCTCTTATTTTACAGTGACCAAAGTAAAACTAGAAAAAATACACAGAAATGCAGGAAGACACCCAGAAAGGAAACAAGTGAATAATGACAAAACCAAGGGTTTTTCACCTCCAAATGTGGACAACAGTAGTGATGCAACCAAAACCTGACATTTCAATCCTTGCCATATTTCCTCATTTGTACTGACTCATCTGTGGCCCAGACTGAACCAGCATCCTAGGAGAGAGCGTGCACCATGCCCAGGCCTGCAAGTCTGCAGGACAACTTATGTGTGACTGACAAGGACCCAGCAGCAGTTGCAGTGAGAAGGGAGAGGTCCAGAGCAAGAATAACTGCTGCACTGGGGCAGAACAAGAGAAAAGTGGGCTCCTGTATATACTGTGTGTGCATAGACCAAGAAACCAGCAGACATGTCCTGGGCTGGGGGATGCCCAGAGCCCACTGGCAGCACCATCCCTATGGTTAATCCTGAGGGGAACTACTGTACCTGCCAGGAGGAAAAGATGAGCAGCAACCATTAAGATGCAAAGAGCCTTGTGAGGAGAACATTGTCCAGGGCCACATGTGAACCTCTTCATTCTTTAGGCATGTTCTGAAAGGAAGATATTGGTGATTACTTGCTTAGCACACACTCAGGTAAGAAATTCAAACTGTTTTCTGTGGTTTGCTGAAATGGCATTCACAGCACAGGAGCTGAGAAGTCCTTGCTCCCTGTGACCTAGCTGAGTCACTAGATCAGAAGCCTCTGTAAAGGTCACAGCTATACAAACCCTCTGGTTTCTGCTGGTTTCTAAAGGAGATGAGGTTTACATGATCACATTCTCTGTGCATGTTTCATCCGTCTCTGACATCTCTGCAAACCTGTCAGCAACTTTCAATGTGCTTTGACAAAAGGACTCCACATCTGAAGTGGTGAAGTTCCTACCAATGTGGGGAAAACAAGAAAAGCTCTACCAGTGAGGTTGTTCTGGATGTGCTGACCCACTGTTATACCCCACAGACTCTTTTGGGAATGGGAGAACAGAGGGCAGCAGACAAGGCCAGAAGCACACAGAGAAGCAGGACACAAGGCTACTCACAGACAGCACAGTCAAAAAGAAGTATTTGTTCTTGCTGCTGAGTTTTATCCACAAACTTTCATGAGTTTAATTGAGCCCTGGGAACATACTCCTAATTGGGGAAAGGCTAGTTCAGGGGTATAAACATACAGCGAACACAAAGCAAAATCAAAATATGCCACTCTAAATTGGAAGGAGTTTGTCCTATTTTGTGCTACATTTTGACTAAAGTTGCTTCAAAGGTGACTGTAGTTAAACTAGAGCAACTGAGAGGACAGACAGCCTGGATGCCCGAGAGCCCTGGACTCACGCCTCATGCCCTACGCGCTCCCCCGCGGTGCTCTGCTTTCTCTACTCGCTTCACTGGACATCAAAGGCAAAGGCTTATTCTTGGTTTATGACCACACTGGACTAAATCTTCAGCTACTAATGATGTATATGAAATAGCTGTGAGGGATGGACTAGATCCTCAGATTGTTGAAGTCAGCCAAGCTCCGTTCAGCAGAGTCTCCTGGCTTCACATTAGACACAGTCCTGGCTCGGGGCTCCCCACTAAGGGTGACTACACTCTGACCACCAGCAAAATGGAAATTGTCTCTTTGTGTCCAGACATGTAAAATAAACATTAGGATATTATTTAAAAACTGAGCTAATAACAACTCTCTCAATTTCCTTTTAAAACTGCACTTTGTAAAACTCATGAAGTTAGGAAATATCATCCAATTTTCCATTTACTGCTGTAGCAACAAATCTCTTCTCCCAGCCTTTCCCGTTATTACTCCAGCAATGATTTGCTGACTTTTGCAGTAACATTTAAGGAACAAATTATTATGCTCCCAGACTGTAGTACCTAAATAGGACTTCTTACATATTTCAGGTGATTCATACTTTCTCCTAAAAAAAACATAGTCATTAAAAGGTGCTGCTCAAAAACTCACCTCCCTGTGTAGCACAGAAATCAAAGTAGATTTTTGCC